CAACGGCAGGCTGGAAACGTTGATCCGTACGATGAAGGATTGACTGCGTAGAGAAATTGAGGCTAACGACGAGTCGCCTCATGCGTGGTGTCTACGATATGGTGCGTGTTATAATGCCACCCGTAACTCTGTGACCAGTTTCGCGCTGTATTTTCACATGGCAGGGAGAGACTTCAAAGACCATAAAAGCTTGGAACTGCAGGACAGGGTGCTGTTCTTGTTGGAGCCGGAACAAGGCCCTGAGGCCATGGTCCACGAAGCGGTGGCAGCTGTCAGGGACAGGCGAGCTCAGTTGGAACAGCAGACTCGAGCTAACCTCAGGCGAGAGGACGTTTGTTTCACTGTTAGCTGTAGGCTCGAGAGTCTGATATCGGTTGCGAGGGAAGTCGCGCGACTTGACTTCGCGGTGGGGTGGGCCGGCACGGGTAGTGGCGGTTCAAGCACTCTTAACGCATGGGGTTGAGATGGCAGATGGATCTCAACGTACTTTCTTGAGGGCGGAGTTGAAGCCGCATGTTGAAAAGCTCTCGGCACAAGAGGAGCAGCGCTCTACGGTACGGTATCGTCCGCATGGGCCGTATGAGGAGTGGTTAATGTATCATTCGCCGTTGACAAAGCAGCAGGATGGCTGCCGTCAAGCGTTGGGCCATTGTATGCGTCGCACGGAGATGGCGCGCATTTGGTTGCGTGAGCTTAGGTCAGCCTGAGGGCGCGGGGAGTTATGTTGTGATGAGACGAAGTGCAAACGGGAAGAAGGTGCTGAGTGAGGACTATCAGGTCTTGTTGAAGCGGGTCTTACCTTTGAAGACGAGCCGTGATGCCTTTGTAGTAAGTAGTCGAGGATAACTGTATCTCAGCGTACTCCCCTCGTACTAGGGGAGACGTTATTCATTTATTGAACTAAATCCTGTGACTATCAATTTGGTCATGTGTTTTCCGTGAATCAGTTTTAACCTGATTGGATAACCCCAGTTCAAAATGTAGTCTCGAATAAAACCCAAATATCAAATAAACCCTAATCCTAAATAAACCCTATCAGGGACTTCCAGACTACAACCCCCCCAAGCTGAAACACCACAAGTGTGCGAGCTTAAAAGATTGAAGGAATGCCCTGAAAGCGGTAACGTGCTGGCATTTATCCTCAGAGAGCTAGAACATTGTGCTGGTATTTATCCTCAGAGAGCTAGAGCATTGTGCTGGCATTTAACCTCAGAGAGCTAGAGGGCTCGGCTATTTGTTCACCACTCGAGCTGGTGACTAAACTGTAAGTACACGTAACATAAGTTTGTGTCTATTAACAAAGTATCTTCTAACTATAACTGGTCTTTCCGGCGTTTCCAAGCTCGTGTCTGTGTATCTTTGTGATATGCCACAATGTCATTAGCGTCGTCAAAGGCCTCGGCCGTTTCCCACGTCGGCACCCCCTCGTGCCCACGCACCAAATATTCGTGTTTACCCGTAACACCATTCGTCCTATGTTTGATGATGTGACGGAACGTTGACCCGCCTTCTTGCCAAAGATCATCGTTCAACGGTGGGTCTGTACTACGGTGGACCAACCGTAGTAACTCAACCCGTACCGGCTTCCCCTTAAACTCCTGGGGAGTGGACCCATCTCTATGTGTAAGGTCATAAGCTTGACCGTTGCGGCCTTTAACTACATATGGGCCAAACAGTGGGCGCATGGCTTTGGAAGTTCGCCCCTCCGATTTCACCATCACGACGTCGCCTTCATCAAAGTGAACTAAGTCATGGGCGTGTAACCGATCAAACGTCTTCGTCAATTTATCCGTATAGGTCGTAGTGATCTTATGCAGTGTAGGCAAAATTGTATCCTGGAGCTGGTCCAACCGGTGTGCCCACGTGTCATCAGTAACCGGTTATTGCTCTGGGGCGTCATCGGTGAAATCCGCAAACGGCACGTGTCGACGTCCGAAATAAACACTAAACGGCGCGCTTTTGTGTCGTCGGGAGATGCGCAAGTTCTGGTACAGCATTGTAAAAGGAAGACGTTCGTCCCATGCCTGGGGTACTGCCTCACAGACGATGCGTATCGAACGTGTTATCTCCTTCTGCCGACGTTCCGTTGCCCCCAACACCTGTGGTCTGTAAAGTGGTGATACTTTGTGAAGTATACCCACTATACTCACTGTCTTGACAATGAGGGCGACCATGTTGTTCGTAAACTCATTACCCATATCTGTCTGTAGCTTGCTGTAGTTGAACGTGGAATAACAGTATCTCAACGTTCTCCTTCTGTTCAGAGGGAGACGTTGTTCTTTTATTTATTAAACCCTAAATTCAGAATCTAATTATTTCTGAGACATGTGCCGATCTAAAACCCTGATCGGTACAAACCACGTTTACAGATTCTGATATTATAAACTAAAATAACCCAAACTAAAATATCACCAATAACCCTGTCTGGTTGAACACTAATATCCCCGTCTGGGTGTATTCCGACCACAACCCCCCCCCCCAAGCTGAAGCACTACCTACTAGTGTGTCAGCTTTGGAGAAAAGGAAAAGAATACTCATACCCTGACCGGCATGCTGGCATTTATCCTCAGAGAGCTAGAGCAATGTGCTGGCATTTATCCTCAGAGAGCTAGAGGGCCCGAAGTATACGTCTCGAGCGCACCGTCGTTAATAACATATAAGTAACTATATACAGGTAAGAGTCTAAATCTGGTCGCGGCGTCGTTTGCGCGTACGCTTCTGCGAGTCTTTGTGGTAAGCGACCATATGTCCGGGATCCTAAGGTGTCCTCCAACAATTGAACTATGCAGTGGTTGAGCAAATTTTGCTTAAAATCTGCATCGGTCTGACAACGCTCGTGTGCCCGACGATGATTCTGTTTCTCCATAAGGTATGTCATCGGTTCCATCACTGGAACATTACTAAGTTTCTGGTGTCCCGTTGCTAATTTGCGAAATGTGTGGTCCACCGTAGCCTGAGTCTCGTGTGAACAGATTTGTGTTATTTGGAGTTCTGGTGTCCATGCAACTAAACGTTGGTGATTAGATTTTATATAATCAAGTGTAGATTGTTCGGCTTTAAAGTGACTTAACACCTTATAAAACCAACGAAGACTCCATGCTTCGTCGAGACCCGAAATCTGCGCATTCTTAAGGGCTTCTCGCAATGCCCCTTTAGTGTCGCGCTCCATAATGTTGCTGAGGTTATACCGGTTCGAGGGCCACTCCGGCCAACTACGTGGTTCCCGTGGTTCCTGTTTGTTCACCGGTCGTGAGTCATGGGTTGCTCTTAATGTCTCGAGTACACCTCTTAGTGCCTCCGCTCGTGGCAAGTTGTTGGCTTCCACTGCCCTACATAATTCCTCCGACAATTTGAGCATACGTGCGTGCAAGGCTTGGTGGTCCGCCGCTATGCTGTCTGATGTAGGAGGTGTGACCTGCTGAGCCAAGCGTCGACGCTTCTCCGATGACGTGGCTTGACTCGACGGTGTGCGTTCAAGCAGCCTGCGTGACGGTAGACTGTCATTCATAGCTTCTCGTACAAATTGTTGGCTCTGACGTTGTGCTTGTAAGGACGTGTCCATGTTGTCACGTCGATTATCCAGTGCCTCCCTCCCGTGAGGGATTTGTGTAGCTCTACGTTGTTCCTTTGCAAAGTTTTGACGAGATATCGTTTCCTGTTGTGTATCGCCTTCGTCCTGATTCTACGATGTGTACCCTAACCCATGACGGGCATCGTCGGCTTCTCTAATGCGGAACTCGATGTTGTCCGGTGATGAAGGTGTGTTCCCTCGTCGCAGTCGACGCAAACGCCGTTCATAATTCTCTAATAGCGATTGCTGTCGCCGAAGTAGGCTCGTCATTTGCTCTGGTGTGTCATCGTCTCTACCTCGGCTCTGTCGTCTCTCTTTGGTATGAGAACGAGGGTGCTTACTTGTAACAGCCCGTGATGCCTCTCGAGGAGTTGTCCCCTCCTGGTAGTGAGCCTGCGACGTCGAATGTGGTGCTCTCATTAGTTCGGGAGTACGTCACTCGGAGTGGTTATTCGCCCGTCGTGTTGTTGTTGTGCTGTTAGTGTCCGCTGGAGTATTGTTTGGTTGGTTCGACGTTTTGACTCTAAGTCGTCCGACACTTCTCCATCCGTATCTACTCGATCCTGAGTACGTCGTCGGAACGATTGTCGCCTCTAACCTCTCGTAGCTAATCAGTTTGTCCGCCAATATCACCCGTCGTTCTCGTCTGGGATTCCGGGCTTACGCAAGCACTTGTCTCTTCTAACTTGCTTGGACGGCTGTGGTCAGAATACTATAGTACGTAGTTTATTTGATTATTTTATGTCTATTATAAGTCTTACAGTTTATCAGAATAATCTGATAAACTGGGTTTTAGGGTTTTGCTGTTTTTACAGCACATGACTGATGACTCATTTTGAGAGTCATTAATCTTAGGATTACTGTTTACAATTATTAATAAATGAACAACGTCCCCCTCCATGAGGAGGGAGAACGTTGAGATATAGTTACTCGACGTGTACTTGCTACATTTTTAACTATACTTTGGAAAGTTGTTTGCTTATTATTAATTGTGAAATAAGCTATTTTATTTAAGCTACTTGATAGTATTAAAATGAAATTTATTAGTTTTTATACCAAGAAAGAACTTTGAATGTAGCAGCAGGAGCAAGATGGAGCAGCAAGATGACGAGATCGCTAGAATCTACCGACGGAGGAGGTCGATAGAGGCTCTACTAGCAGTGACGCTAGTGCCAGGATGCCGTCCTTGCTGTCAAATAGTGGCAGCGGCCCGGTAGAAACACAGAAACCGGGCGAACAGCAGATATAACAGAACCAGTCAAAAGGATCTGAAGGAGTCAATCGACGCTTTAGGCTAAGTAAAACTAGTATGGCTAGGCAGTTGGGAAGGCTCAGGCTTTCTCAGCAAGTAGCTATCATTCCTAGAAAGCAGCAAACATTATCAAACAATGACACTACAACTGAACACGAGGAGCTATCGAAAGAATCGGAGGGATCGAAATCAGCAGAACAGGAGCGAAATCAGAAGGTCCGGAGGGATTAAGACGGCAAAGACAAGGGCTCAGACAACGAACAAGATAAGTAACAACAATAACTAAGAGTAGTTCTAGTAGTGGTCGAAACTATAAGGTTAGAGTTACAAGTAGTAGGGCAGTAGTTAAACCAGAACCCTACTATAGACACGTACAGACTAGAAGAACAAGCTTGGTTAGTTAAGACAATTGTTGGAGGTAAAATTTCGTTCGAAACAGTAAAATAGAGTCAGAAAAGGTGGATTTTAGAGTGTTGAACAGAGAGATATTTAAGAGAAGATATAAGATAATAGTGCCTACGTTAGGTAGGGCTAAAAGTGATAACATTACAAACATGATAGACCCACGCCAGATCTAGACAAAAGCAAACTATAGCAATGTTATTTACACCTTTGTAGAAAGCATGGGGGTAGGAATAAGGATAAACATACCACCTGCACATATAGGCTTAGAACGAGTAGATTTACAGTAAGCGAGTGGTTTCAGCCGAGCTAACATTCTATTCCAGACGTTGCAAGAAACTATAGCTCAATGTAGTAAAAGTCCCCTTAAACCACTATCAGTGTGGAGTTAGAATTAGTTTACAATTAATTCACACGAGGTGAATTATTTGTAGCCCCCGTAGACAATCAAATATAAGAATAAATACACCGCACTGAGCCTCAGGGAGACTCGGTAGGTTTTAGTATCGTATTTTGATGTGTTTACTACATTTTTACGACTAGTTACTTTAGGTATATTATTCAATTTTATCTCGAGGATAATAGTGGACGGAGAAATTCATTTTATTGACAAACTACAGGAGTTGATTTCCTTCAGAACCGGGTAGCTGAAAGGAGCTTGCAAATTACGACAGGAGCAAAGTCTTCCGAGCACAGATAAGTGAAAAGAAACCCCCCCTTCCGTTTTGCTCGGTTTGATACGCTTGCGTGATTTACATATATATATATATATTTATATTTTATGCAGATTTTTATTATTATTCTAAATCTAGAGCAAATTGGAGTAATTAGTAATATATGCAGAAATTAACAGGTGCCCAGTTTATTCAGCTGATGC